GAGTACAAGCCCCACATGTTTTTTTACATGTTTTTTCTTTTTTCAGTCATCCTTGCCGGGGCCCCGTCAAAACTGTTCAAATCGGACCCCGCACTTCCTAAAGCCGGCTCTGATCACAGGCAAAGGGGTTTGGACCTGCTGCCTGTGGCTACCCTACCCACGAGCTGCCTCCTGCAATCCAAGTGCCCCTTGGGCCTTACCCTAGGCCTGCAGCCTGGGGCTTTCCTAGGCCAGAGCTCCCCAGGCCTTTACCCAACCCTGCTCTACTCTAGGCACTTGTATAAGATCCCTGCAGCCAGGCCCTTCTCTCTCTGGAGGGAGGGAGAGAGAGAGAGACTGACTACTTGAGCACCTGGCTCACAGCCTTTATAGGGCCAGCTGGGCCCTGATTGGGGCGTGACCCCAGCTGAGCCTGCTTCCTCCCAATCAGCTCAGGCATCTTGCCCTTCCACAGCCCTCCTCCAGGGCTGTTTTAAACCCCTCAGGGCTGGAGCCGGTAACCACCCCGCTACAAGAACGGAGAAGGGTATTCATAGGTTACAAATGATTAGTTGACTATCGCCAGCCACAGTCATGGTCTCTAAGAGATTTCCCCAGCTCTGTCAATTATCAGTGTAATATAGGTGAGAAAATTCCCCAGGTGATGGTTTATTACCTTTGAATTTTTTCATTATGGTCTCCACAGAGGCATTTCTTTGAGAAGATTCCCAGATTCTCCATTTCAGTTCAGAAGAAAAGGCCACTGGGTTCTGAAACGTCTTCCTCTCGCATCTGAAGAACAACCCAGTGTTACTCGTTGTGGAGTTCGGTCATATTTGTGTTTTACTAACATGTGTTTTATTCTAGTGAATGGTTGTAGCTCAGCAGACCCTGGAGGATTAAAGTCTCTATTGCCCCAGGAATAGGTCCAATACCAGCTTGGACACTACAAGCTTCCCCTTCATTCTGGTGAGACCGATATTGGAAAACTGCATCCAGTTCTGGTGTCCCCATTTTATAATGGACGTTGAAAAAGTGGAGATTGTGCAGAGAAGACCCACAAAAATTATTTGAGGGCTGGTAAAAATGCCTTGCACTGAGAGAACCCTGGCACTTGTGTGTGGGGTATAAATACCATCACGGGGTGAAAATACTTGGTACTAAAGGGCTCCTCGATTTACCAAACAAAGGCACAACAATGACCAATTGCTGGAAGCTGAAGTCAGAGAAATTCAAGTGGGAAATCAGACAGATATTTTTAAGAGTGTGGGTGGATTAACCATTGGAAGAAACTGCCAAGGGAAGTGGTGGATTCTCCATCTCTTGACAGGGGAACCAGAACAGGGGGCCATGGCCCCATCACTTTTAAAAGTGGGAGAGCTCTGCTCTCTCCCTTTGTACCTGCCTTAAAGGCAAGTCATGGGGGAGGGGCGGAGAGGAGCGAGCAGAGAGCAGGGTCTCAGAGGAAGAGGCAGAGCAGGGGTGGGGCCATGGTTTGGGCACCAGTAGCCCCCCCCACTTCTAGGGAGCTTCAGGCATTACTGTCTGTTGACGTCTTCAAATCTAGACTGCATGGCTTTCTGGAAGGTGCTTTAGTCAACACACGTTAGGATTTAGTCGAATACAAGTTATTGGGCTGAACACAGGAATAACTGGGTGAAATTTAAGGAGCTGTAATACATAGGGGCACTGACTCCGTGGGTGCTCTGGGGCTGGAGCACCCATGGAAAAAAAATAGTGAGTGCTCAGCACTCACCAGCAGCCCCACAGATCATCTGCCCCCTCCTCAGTGCCTCCGCCCGCTGGCGGGCCTGCCAATCAGTTCCTCCCCCCTGCCTCCCAGCACCTCCTGCCCACTGGGGAGCAGCTATTCAGCAACGGGCAGGACGCGCTGGGGGGAAAGGGGGTTGAGCAAGGATGGGAAGAGGCTGGGCAGGTGAGGCGGGGTGGAGTGGAGGCAGGGCCCAGGGCAGAGCAGGGGTCGATCACCCCCGGGGGAATGAGAAAGTCGGTGCCTGTGCTGTGATATACAGGAGGTCAAATGTGATGATCTTATGGTCCTTTCTGGCCTTCAATTTTATGCATCTTTAAAACTCAGTAATACTATGTGGCAATGATTTCCATGGCTTAATAATGAATTGTGTAAAAAAAGTATTTCCCTTTCTCAGCTTTACACTAGTTGCTTTTCAACTGCACTGAACGTCTCCTTGTTCTTGTATTGTGAGTGTGGGTAAGCAGGATCACCTGACTTACATCCTGTACACCATTTAAGGGAGATAATTAGTGACAATCCTTGTGGTGATGTCGTGACATTATTGACATAAACTGTGACCATATAGATCATTGCTGCAACCAGTTCTTGAACAGGGGAGGCCAAGTGGGGTGTCTATGGGAAGGTTGTAGTTTGCTGGTTATGACTATGCTGTCTGTATCTGTGTATCATGTTTGTATTAGAAGTTATGAATATTGGCCATGTACTTGTTTGATTCTAAGTAGCCTCAGTGAAGCATTTGGTCAGCTTCTTGAGAAAGGACTATTCTCAGTAAGTGCCCTATCAAGAAACACTTAACTGACAATGGACTTTGGGAGATGCCAATCCACATCTGAGCTTTCCTGGGAATGTTCAAACTAACATGTAAACAATGGCGTCGGCCTGCAAAAAGCTGAATCATTCATAGACATGTAACTTACCCAGGTGGCTGCAAACTCCATTGGGGGCGGGGGGGGGATTTTACACAGGAGAACAAAGGGGTTTCCACCCACAAGAGAGAGGTTATATAAGGCCATGGAAACCCCTCCATTTTTGATTCAGCTGGCTCAAAAGATAGCCTCTCCACCCCAAAGAGATGCTTAAAAGAAACTGGAACAAAGGACAGTAACTATGGGGGTGTGAGTGATTGCTGGACCCAGACTAGGAAGAAGTCTAGTCTGTAAAAGAAGTTTTGAGGGTAAGATTTAACTGCATTTAGTTTCCTACTCTATTAGGCTCAGACTTGCATGTTTTTGTTTTATTTTACTTTGGTAACTTACTTTGTTTTGTCTGTTATTACTTGGAATTACTTATATCCTACTTTTTATACTTAATAAATTCACTTTTTGCTTATTAATTGACTCAGAGCAAGTAATTAATTCCTGGGGGAGCAAACAGCTGTGCATATTTCTCTATCAGTGTTATAGAGGGCGAACAATTTATGAGTTTACCCTGTGTACGCTTTATACAGAGTAAAATGGATTTATTGGGGGTTTGGATCCCATTGGGAACTGGGTGTCTGGGTGCTCGAGACAGGAGCACTTAAGCTGTTTTCAGTTAAGTCTGCAGCTTGTGAGTGACGTGGTTCAGCCCTGGGTCTGTGTTTGCAGCAGGCAAGAGTGTCTGGCTCAACAAGACAGGGTTCTGAAGTCCCAAGCTGGCAGGGAAAATGGGCTCAGAAAAAGTCTCAGCACAGCAGATGGCAGTCCCAAGAGGGTTTCTGTGACCCAACCCGTCACAGATGTAGATACCCAATGTACCAGGACCTGGAGTGAGACCCACTAACCCATTTCAAAGATAATTTATGTTCTTATTTAGCTCTTTGGATACATACAATGGTCAGTCCACTAGCACAGGGGTTCTCAGATTACAAAGGCCAGTGTATGTCCACTCCACACTGAGGAAATGGCAAACTACTTAATGAACTTACACTGCCCGAGGGAGCCTTGAGCAGAGTGAGTCGGTGCAGTTCTGGGGTGCAGGGCTGGAGCTGGGGGGAACTGGCTGGCGCCTTTCTATTGCTGGTTCATCAATGGCTCGGAGCTGAGTCATGTAACACAGCTGGGCATGTCCCTGCCCGTAGGTGTCTGTGTCAGTGCAGGGCCTGTCAGGCTTGTAGCTTGACATCAGCATCACGGGGCGAGAGGCAGCCCAAGTTGGGGATTTGGAGGGCTCAGCAGTCCCACAGTCCAGGCTGCAGCCCAGGAACCCCGTCCCACGAATGTAAATCTCCCTTGTGGAAATTAAACTGATTACTACTTGTTCTGCCCTCAGTGGACTTGAAGAACAACTGATCACCGCTCTCTGTAGAACAGCCTCAGACATATTTGAAGACTGTTATTAGACCCTCCCTCAGTCTTCTCTTCTCTAGACTAAACACACCCATTTATTTCAACCGTTCCTCACAGCTCATCCATTCTAAACCTCTGATCATTTTTGTTGCTCTCCTCTGAACTCTCTCCAATTTTTTTACATCTTTCTTAAAGTGCGGTGCCCAAAACTGGACACAGGATTCCAGCTGAGGCCTCACAGTGGCAAGAAGGGGGGAACAGCATCCTCCTGTGTCTTACATATGACACTCCTGTTAATACATCTGTGGTGGGGTGTTTACCCCACATCAGCCCCCGGAAAAAGTGAGGGAAGCTAAGAAAGAGGAGATTAGTGAGACAGGCCACACATAAGCAATTTAGGCCAGAGAAGCAACCCCTGATTGGACGATGAAGCTCAGCTGAGCAGGTGGGGGCTGGGCTAGGATAAAGCCAGGAAGCTGGCAACAGAAATTGGGAGCAGTGAGGAAGTCTGCAGCCCCCCTCTGTGAATTTGAAAGGGAAAGAGGGAACCCAGGGAGAGAACAGCATGCTGGGAGCCTGGCCCTGGGGGACGGGAGCACTTAGAATCACAGGGTTAGAAGGGACTGCCAGGGTCACCTACTCTAACCCCCATAAGAGAGAAGGGTGGAGAAGAAAGCCTATGGGACGTGAGCAGGAAGCAGCCCAGGGAGTGAGCAGACCTTGCCTGCATGTGGTAGGGTTTCTGAGCTGGACCCTGGAGCAGTGGGCGGGCTTGAGTTCCCCTACCAGCCACTGATGGAGTGGCATTGCCTGGGCAGTGGGACCAGGGAGACTCTGTACCCCAGAAGGGGAAACCATTCAGTGATCTGGATGGAGGCTGAGTCGCGAAGAAGAAGCTGCAGCTCTTGGAGTGAGAGATGAGGCTGCAGAGTGAGAGAGAGACAACGGGGAGAGACGGCAAGGGGAGGGGTTGGACGTGGAAGAAAGCTAATCCCCAGAACAGCCAGGAGGAGGCAGCACCTGCGGTGAATACAGCAACCTGTGACAACATCCCACAATGACATTTGCCTTTTTCACAACAGCATCACACTGCCGACTCCTTCAATGTGTGATCCACTGGAACCCCCAGATCTTTTTCTGCAGTACAGCTGCCTAGCCAGTTATTCCCCATTTCATAGTTGTACATTTGATTTTTCCTTCCAAAATGCAGCACTTTGTCTTTATTGCTTGATTTTAATCCTTCCTCCCTCCACCCTTTGTCTCTTGTGTCTATTTAGACTGTAAACTCATTGGGGCAGGGACTGTCTCTGTCTGTGTCTGTGCAGCACCCAGCATGTTGGGACCTGATTTTGCCTTGGGCCTCTAGGCACTGCCATAGTACTACTGATAATAGCACATTATAAACTCCTTAGAGCTGGGAATGTCTCTTCCATGATATCTGTTGCCATGCCAAGCACACTGACAGAGCTCACTGCATAAAAGGAAACAATTAATAAAGAGCTCATTGAATAGTCATCAGATGGCCCTGACTTTCCAGCCCTACCAACCTGTGTGGAGTTTGGAGTCTATGACCTAGAAGCGAAAAACGCATTCTCCATCCCCAGTCTCCTGAGGTCTCCATTCCACTAGCCACACTACAAATCAATACCGTGTCTGTACATAAATAACTCTTTTCTCAAGGTGCTCTATTCTGGAGTCTACTCAAAATGACAACAGCCCCAAGATTAGATTTAATAGAGGGAGATTGGGAACCAGCCCCACATTCTGCACTGCTGGACCATGGGGAGCGACGTCTCATGTCCAAAATCCCTTCCATGCACTGAGAAGGGAGAGGGAGAGGGAGAAGGAGCCACCTACCTGCTCAAGGTGCTTTTGATGTCCTAGAGGAAAAAGATAAAAGGAAATTCAGTCCCATTTATCCCATACTGGGGATCCCTCCTGCTCTGGAGGGGAGTCACTTTGTCTTTGAAGTTTTGAGTTTCAAAGTGAAACGATTTGTTATTTATTAATACAAACAAAATATTAAACATGTTGCCTTTGCTCTTTTGGAGAAGTGCTCTGACTGCCGGATCTGGGCCCAGGAAGTTTGTATGTGGAGGTTCTTCATATAATGACATTTGCATAACCAGCTGAAACACATGGAATCAGAGGGCTCAGTCCTGCAATGTGCTTAACAAGGATCTTCCGAACACTCACAGGTGTGGGGAAGATCCCCTCCTGCAGCCTCCAGTGGGTCCAGAGGGAGGGATGCCCCCAGGCTGGGCTGCCCTCATGGTGTAAACTTTCTCCCCGTTCTCCCACAAACATTATGAAGGCCCGTCCTGTGGGCTTCTTGACAGCCACAGGAAGTTGGGGCTGGGTGAGAACAATGGGTTTGGGGTACAGAGTAACAGAGGGCCATTCACTATCCTACACCCCAGGTTCAATGCAGGAGATCTGGGGAGTGAAGAATGCTGCCCACAGAAGATATTGGTCACAACAGAGAATTTGACCCTAGATATCAACTAAAGAAGTCCAGGATACTAAGATTTATTTCTCACTTTCTTTTTTGTTAGTTAGATTCACTTTTTGAAAATTAAAATAATTAGAAAGCTTTTGGGATTCTAACAACTACTTAACTTTCAGGGTACCATAAGTAACGAACAGCTTCCCTAACTAACTTCAGTTCTGGCAGACAAAATCACCACAGCCTCAGATCTAATGTATCAATTTTGAGGCCAATATTTTTCCTTTTTTGTGGTATGTATTAAGAGTGGCAAAATCAGTCTTAAAATGGAAACTCAATTTCAATCTTAGCTTTTTCCATAATTAAAGACTGGTTCCACCTTAGATCTTCTGAAGTTAGGATTTGGAACACAGGAAATGATCAACGGGATCAGACCTGAGGTCCATCTAGTTAGTATCCTGTCTCCAAAAGTGGACAATATCAGATGCTTCAGAGGAAGGTGTAAGAAAATTTGCTTCTCACATTCTCATGCTGCTGTCTAATAGCAGAGACTGGCTGAAGCAATGAAGCATGAGGTTTAATATCAAATAATTTTTTTTGTCCAATCACTTTTTGAGTTTTTTTAAATTCTTAGAATCAGTGACATCCTGTGGCATTGAGTTCCATGCTCTAATTATGTGATGTGTGAAAATGTTTCTTTGGATCAGTTTTGAATTTGCCACCTTCTAATTTTATTGAATGTTCCTTCATTCTTGCATTAGGAGACAGGGAGAACAGAGTTTGGAGTTTGACATTTTTGGAGGAGTCTTCTCCCACTAGAATTCAAAAGAAGAACTTTTTTTATTCATTAGGGCTCTATCCAATGGCCATTGGAGTTGAGAATAATATTTCCATTGACTTTAATTGGCATTTGATCAAGCCCTTAAAAAATGTATATTTCACTCCTATACTCCAAAAGTGAAGGGTTCGGAGACTTTTTGTCCCTATGAAAGGTTCTGGGGTGTTTCTAACACCGTCTCACCTGCAGGAATTCACTTGCTGACTGCTGGCACTTCTGCTCCATCTCACTGATCAGGGAAGTGAAAGAAGATATTTCCTCAGATAGTTTGGCAACATAGTCATCCCTCCTCTTTTCAATTTCCTGATTCAGCTCTTCTAGCTGGGCCAGCAGGAGTCGCTCTTGTTCCTCCAGAAACTGGCGCAATTGCTGAACTTCAGACACAATCTTCTGCTTCTCAGTTTCTAGCTGATTCTGAAATGAAGAGATACAAACAGGGAAAGCACAGGTCAGGGCCAGGAACACGGAGTGAGTCATGGGATATTTTATAAAGACTTATGTATGCACATGGAAGCATAGCATTGTAACCCCATCAAAATTAACTTCTGACATTTTGTTGAGCACATACTCTATGCTCAGTAGACAGATGATTTTCCAATAGATTTTCAAGAGTCCTAACTTGTGGTTAGAATTGTAATGCATGGCTAGAAAGGGTTAAACATCCTTTAAAAAAATAACCCACATGAAGTTTAACAAAGACAAATGCAAAGTGCTCCACTTAGGAAGGAAAAATCAATTTCACACATACAGAATGGGAAAAGACT